TGGGAATACTTTTTTAGTTTTCTGCTGTGTGAATTATCTTATCTTGAAATTTTCTAATCGATATTTTCAATTATAAAAAAAAAAGTTTCTTGAGTGGATTGTTGAGGGTGGACCAATTCAGGTTGATATGAAGATTTGTCTTAATCTATTTGTAATTTCTATTGTTTGAGTTTTGTATTTGAAGGAGGACAATATTTAAATTTGAATATTGGAAAATTTAATTTACTTTGTCATGGGTCGAAGTTTGAGGAGATTAATAAACTCCTCGGAGTGAAGAGTAAATTTTAATTTAATTTTGAGGGTTGACTAGCTGTTTTAAATAAACAATTTATTCTCAATATTTAAATTTTAAAAGTTATGGGTTGAGTTTATAGCGTGGCATCGTTTTTAACTTTAACCGCTGATATTTGAGAATTCTAAACTTAATTTTCTGAGATTTGAACCTTTGAGTTCTCAAAATCAACTTTGATCTACTTAACCACTTCAAACTGAGCTATTGAGGCAATTTATCCTTTTAAAACGTCCGACAAAAACTAAGTTTCTTAAGACTAAGTTCCGACCAAATTTAAATCAAATCAAAAATATATTCAGCAATTCAATCAGTTTAAGTTCAAATGAGTCCAACTACCCGCTGTAAACATAACTTATCTCTAGTCCACCCACATCAATTTCTAAACCTTCTCATTACAATCATTTCCAACCTCCCAATCTCAAAAAATGAATCAAATCAAAATCCATCCCAATCTATGCAATCTTAATAAATTCAATCCAATTCATTGTCCATGATGCCATGTCAAGCCAATTTTCCCCTGAAGCATCCATTTACTTTTATGCAAATATCTCAAAACTGTAAATATTATGCAAATCTCAAACAAAAAATCTTTTATGAAAACAAATTGTCGAACCATCCTCAATGCAAAACGTCGTAGATGTAATATTATCAGCCATTAAATTGAAGATCTTCAAATTGACTTTACAATCTGTAACTGTACAAGAAATGCGTCTAATTTATACAAATCGATAATTTGATTGCTTATTTTTTAAACATCTTCCTCGTCTGATTCGCCAAAAAGAAATGAAAATAAAAAAAAAGAAGCAAAAATTTAAACATTATCTGTGATACGTGGCAATAAATGTGAAGGAGATGTACGTAAATTGAGCACGAAAAGACATTTTCTAATATCATTTCATTTCCTTATTTTTATTTCAAGCCATTCATGAGAGCGAAGGGAGATTACGAGCATATAAGTAAGTAAGTAAGTGTCTAGAGTTCGAAAGATAAAGAGCAGGAAGTAAGGAATCGGAGAACGAATAAAGAGATGTAGTTGGAGAAATATCAATGCTTTCAATTTCTATAAATTCTCATCCACTGATCTTATCTTATAAATGTAGCTATTTGTTTTATAATATCCAACAATAATTTTTATCGCCCATTGTGTACATGTAGTACTTCTTCAAAACGATTGTGTGAGGGAAAGAAAGACTGAAAGTCTGCAATAAAAAAAAAGCTGAGAAAGAGAAAATATTGGTTCTAAGTGAAGAGAGCAAAGCGCTTTAGGTACAAACACGTATTAATGGATGGAATGGTTGTGACAAAGTACTTCTTTTTTTTCATTCCTTTCTCTCTCTTATATCCTCTTTTTCCACAATTTTATTTTTTCTTCATCCATTTACCGCCCTCGACATTCGCCTTTCATGACTTTGCTGATGACGAGTCAACGTAAGTTTCAATGCGTTTCAAGAGCGCTTCTCGTTCTCGCTTCTCGTCATCATCTCTAAGTGTGTGTATATACTTAATGATGAAGTGTGCCTTCAAATTGACATTTTTTTTGATTGCTAATTGATTTCTTCTTCCATGTCAGGAGACTTATTTATTTTTAATTCTCGACTGAGATTCTTTTGACTGTGATTTTTCGAAAAGATTCTTTTTTTTTATTGGTTTGTGGACTTTGAGTTTGGATAGGCTTCTGTTTTTTAAAGAATGACGAATTTGTCGGTTTGAAAAGTAGAGCGATTGAGGATTATTGGAGTAGTCTGCAAAGCATTTAGCTCAAATTTAATGTGGCAACTTAAAAGGTGTCAATTCGAATCTTATCATTTTCAAATTAACACTTTTTCAGAAGTTTAGGCAATTCAACTGCTTAATCTACGAGATTTAGACAAATTTAAGTTTGAGACAGTGTTGGATTAAAGAACATGCGGTTAAACACAAGAATATAGAAAGGAAAGCTGTAAACAGTTATTATGAAAAAAAAAAAACCTTTACCTATTCAGATCAATTGTGATCCAGAGGTGCGCTAGGGCGATTCGCAGCTAATGAGAGTTTAACGAGTGAGGATGCGCCAAACCACTGCACTCAAACCTAGACCTACAATTTATAGTGGGATCCGAACCACTCCTTTGATGACATTTCTGTCTGTAGCCTACAAAGGAAGGCTGTGAGCCTCATTTCCAGTACATATGATTCGAAAAAGAACAAGTGAAAAATTTCCCATACCCAGTCTCGAACCCATGATCGCTGTGTCGGTATTGCAATAATTAGGTACCGAAGTACTAAACCATTCCGCCACCGAGCCACTTCAGCTCAACAGTTATTATGAGAGTGGAATATTTGAAAAGTGGTCCTAGAAGATGCTGGACTTGAAAGATGAGTAGAAAATCACTTGACTAAATGCTCAACAGCCAAAAATCTGCAAAAGATAGCAGATTTTGAAGATGGCAACAGATCAAGGTTGAAGAATTTCTTTATTAGATGTGTTAAAAAAGAATCATTAATATCCAGAACTGGCATTAGGTTTCAAAAGATGGAAATGTCTTCAAAGTTCCCAGAAATTGTCGAATTTTTATTTATCAAAAATGTGTGTGCTCCATGCATGAATCACATTGTAAGCATACCCAAAAAAAAAAATAAATTCACATCCCAACCCTCAAAAAATCAGGAAACATTTTTAAAAACCTTATCATTCACTTGTCTAAAAGCTCTTCAGTCAACATCTCGCTCCGATGATTTTTTCAACCAAAAAAAAAAATTCTCTGCTTTTATTTATTTTCATACCTTCGTTATAATATTCTTTTGTGATTGATTGACTTGCAGGTGAATGTTGTAAAATGAAATTTATTTGATAAGTTTTGCATTGAACAAAAGAAAAAAATTTCACCTGAGCTGACAGTCTCAATACATTTATGTAGAACATAAATAAAGTATTATTAGAGTGCTAAAGCTATATGGATGTGAAAGTAAAGGAAAAAGTGCGACATGCTGCGCTCCAGGAATGTTAATAATATAAAAATGTACTGCGTAAATGTTACAAGCAAGCAATGTAAGTTAATGTCAGCATGTTATCATATTACCTAATCTTTTTGAAGCATGAATAAAATATTTAAGGCAAATACAATTTAAAAATTCACAATATGGGGATTCTCTTTAAATATTTATAAAATATATTTACCGAGAGTTTCTCATCCCTTTTTCTTGCCTTTCCATATCCATTTTTTTTCTGCATTGACAGTGGGGTTATTTTATTATCAAGTTGTAAAAAAAAGTACGGTAAGAAGAGCAAGTGAGAGAGGAAAAAAAGGCAAAAGCTTGGCATGATTTTTTTTTTCGGTATGCTCTTTTGTGGCAAAACGAACTCCACCCTTTTTCTTTTTTCCCCATCATCGACAAATGGTTGGTTTTTTTTTCTTGTGCTCCTCGTCGCAACATTTTTATGCGTATGTATACATTTTAATAATGTTAATCTTGAACTTTTTAGCGAAAATTTTTCATGGGGAAAAATGTAGGGTAATGAGAGTTTGTCTGATGAGTGGCTAGGAGTGGTAATTGATGACTTGAATGTTTTTTCGGGTGGATTGGGAATTTTGGGGTGATTTTCTTAGGTATTTTAAGTTTTTTTAAGATAGCTACCAGAGTGTAACACTTGATATGATGTCTAGTAGCGTTCCTAAAAAATTGTCACTAGTCTTTCCTAGGACTAGTACTTTCTTAGATATCAAGTCAAGTTTTCCACTCGGGCTACTTGCTCATTTTTATAAATATATAGACAAAAAGTCTGAATAAAGGTCATTTAAGAGTGTCATCATGATTAACTGTCAGCAATTTTTGAGTATTTAAGCTGAGAGCAATGCCAATGTGCCCAATTATGTCAAACAAACCAAAATATGGTTAAAAATGAAGTTTGTAACATAAAAGAGTTTATGCAAAATAGAATGAGGGATCTTTTGGAGAAAGTTTGTACTAAATTCGTAAAGAAAACTTGAAATATGCTTTTAGTCATTGTTAAGATCGTTGGAATCAAAAGCGCTCTGATGTCAAATTTTTCTCAGTTTTTAATAGTTTTCCTTAAATTTCCTAACCTAATTTTACTTTGTTCTTGGCTATGATTCTTCTTTGAATTTTGTAACTTTGTCAAAGTTGTAACAGAAATTTGAAATTTAAATTTGATAATTTATTCAAATTAAAAAAAAAAAACGTTAAGGAGTTTTTTGAATGACAAAATGAATTATTATGGCAGTCGCGATGAAATGATGGAGAGGGGGAGGAGATGATTGAAAAGAAAACTTTCTTATCCACAAATATTGGAGCTATTTGTTTTCAAAGTGTATCAAATCTTGCAACACTGATGTTTGCTGTTTGTTGGTAACATTGAACCTTAAAGACCCTTTAAAAATTGACAAACATTCTTAAATCCAGGAAGTAATTCTAAAAGCTCTTTTTACCTCTTCCTCAAAAACTGCGCTAAAGATTAACTATTATCCCACCAGCAACGACAAATTTCTCCATCATTTCAATCTCGTCATTATTTTTTTTCTTTTCTTCTTACAGTATTCACTATCAAGATTTTCTTGAGGCTCATTTTAAGTCACGACTTCAAACAATCATAATTTTATGATAAAGATTTGAGATAGCGAAGAGCTTTGCCTCTCTTATCATTATGAAGGATATAAATGAAATTGAAGCATGCAGCATTATAAAATAAAATAAGATAGAAAATACTTACCCCGCATTCACATATGGTACTTTGCTAAAAAGATGTGGCAAGAATACTAGTACTACTAGAAGAGCACCTACAGATGGCACTCGCCATTGTATGTTATCTATATTTGAATTCATCCTTTTTGATTTTTCCATTTTTTTAAAACTTTTTTTTAAATTTTTCGATTCACTAAATTAATTTAATTCACTATTCCTTTTTTTTGCTTATTTAATTTATATTTTTTTTTTTGCGTGAGTATAAAAATTTTTTTCCACTGCTTTTTTTGCTACAATTTTTTTTTAAATTTATTTTGCTAGTGCAAATTGCTTTATCGTTCGTTTCAATGCATATATATATATTCTTATGTTGTATTATGACACTTTACATTTGCACAAATAGCACTCTTTATGTGTGTATATACTCTGAACTATATTTTTTTTTCTTTTTATATTTCTTTCAAGTTTTTTTTTTATATTTTTTTATTTTGAATTCTCCATGTTATTTTTTTATTCGCATCATAACTTATGTGTCTCTTTCTATATTACACCACCGGATGAATGTCAACTCAAATAGACGTCTATTGAGTACATTTCATCTTTTGTATTTCTGCATTTTATTGCTAACATTCATACATTCACATGAAATTAATGAAATTTCTAGAAATTTCATCTTTTTCTTCGCTTCGGTTTCGTTTGATGATTTTTTTTTTATTTTTTGAGAAATTTTCTGTTATCTCATCATTTTGTAGCGAACATTATGCTGACTTGAGTCTGTGGATGAAACAGAGAATAGAGATAAAATTGAAAAAGAGGATAAAAAATTATTTTTGTTGTTGAAAAATTAAAGGGAAATGTGGGGTATGTGGGGGTAGGGATGTGGTTGTGTTATGAGACATGATATGGGGCCGTTCATTTATTAAGTTACGCAATGTTGAATGCTTTTAAAATAGAATAATTTCTATTGTTTTGAGCTTTTTAAGCTACTAATGAGCCAAAAAATTCACTTTTTTACTCTATTAAGTTACTAGCTTACCCGAATAGGACAAGTCGGTTAATCGATCAGAAATCCGGCACCTAGACGATGTAACTCTAGCATGGTGCTGGATTTAAATCGAAACAAGCATCATTCCAGATTCATGCTAGCTTAGTGCCGAATTTTTTATTCGATTAACCGACTTGTGCTATTTGAGGTTATATACTATCATAAAGTGTTATGCCCCCTTTACCCCTATTCTGAAATTCATAAGTGAACAAACCCCACGTAGTCTCTTGATTCTTTGTTTTGTGGATTTGATGAGCTTTTATGGATTTTTTTTTAATTTTAGCATTATTTTAATTTTCTTTTTAATTTTTGATTTTTATATTTTGCAACTTAATTCATTTTAAATTTTTTAAAATTTAAATGGACATGATTATTTTGGTAAAATTGATGATGTGAGATAGAAAATTCAATATTATTATTTATTTTCTGTCTGTGCAACTTTTTCTCCTTCAGATATTCTTGGCAATTGTATCAAAGTTGTGTCGGTACATATTTAGATGTCTGGATTTTGTGGTGTAATTATATAAACAATCTTTTGAGTATGAGTACCAGCTTGTTTTAGGCTCATTTAAATAAATGAAATTTAGATCTTAATATTTATGTGAATAATGAGTTTTTTAGAGAAAAGAAAATTATTTTTGTGAATTTTTCAGATACTTTAGTGTCCCGGGAATCTGATATTTTGGAGGATTTGAAGAATTAAAGGTTAAACTTGAAGCTAATCTGACTTTATATTAGTATAAAGAATATAAATATTAACTAATACAATACCTAGTCAATTTTTAAGTTCTGAACTATTGAATTTGAAATCGAGATTCAAAATTGAATTTTAGAATTATTAATGAACTGTCTTAAAGATTAAATATGAATCAAAAGTAGAAAAAGTATTGAGAGGGCCCAACCTTTTGAGCTGGAGACACTGCGATTCAAAAAGTGAAGTAAAAGTAACTTTAATCAACTTTGTAGTTCTCGAGACACGATAAAACAAAGAGCACGATTCTTAATATTATTTTGGAATGTTTAAAAAAATTGAAAAATGACTAAGAATTATCAGCAAAGAGCTGTGAGCTCGATAATAACAAGGAATAACAAGATCAGATCTAGATCTTCGTGGATTAGTATATGTTCGAGTCAAACATGAAATTTTAGAACTTTTTCATGGGTTATTGAAGCTCAAGTTTTGTATTTAAGGTTTCTCAAGCTTTCGGTTCCAGATTTTCTATGGAAACCCTTCTTTGCGCTGCTCTTGCAAAGATATTTACCTCAATTCTTTAAAGAATAGAACTGAAAAGCTATTTAAAACATGAATTACAAATTCAAGCAGACAATAAGACAAGGTGATGCCAAACACGATCTCATGACCTCAAAATCTAAAATGTTCAACTTAAAGAAAGTTAATGAAATTCTCAGACGACATAAAGCTTTTAAAACAAATTGGATGTTTACTTATGATGCTATATACATTTATAGAGACGGTCAAAGCTTCTATGAATATTTTAGTATTTTTGTCAAATAATTCAATACTACGTCATTTGTGAATGAACCCCAAAAATTTTCTGAATTTTAAGTTGAAATTAAAACTTATTCCAATCCCCAAAAACAACCTGCAAAGAACAACAAACTTGATATCCTTGTCGTCATTTAAAATTTCAAGCTTCCGATATTGGCAAGTATTACATTTTGCAAATGGTATCCTCATGACCAAAAAAGTTTATTCAAGGATTGCTCATTGAATGTTTTAAGGAAATAAAAAATGCAATGGTTATGAGTTTTTCATGGGAACGGAAATTGGTGAAAATTTTCCATGCATATCGAAAAAAAAATGAATTTTCTTTATTTATGAAAACGGAGCTTTTTTTGTGGAAATGAAAAAAATTGAGTTGAATTGATTTTAAATTTTTTGCACTCTCAATTCCTTTGTTATAAATTAAAGAATATCCATTAGCTATAAAAGCAGCAGTAGCAGTAAAAAAGAAAAGCTCATGAGACAGTCAGACACGAGCACCTTTTCGCACAATTGAGAATATGCGCTAAAAAAATGGGGAGATATTAACAAAAGGTTATAACTAATTAAAGAAGATAAAAGAGCACGAAGACGACAGAATATTTGCTGCTGTGCTACTGTGTCTCATTCCTTTTTTTGTGTGTGCGGAGGATTCATAATTAGTTTTTGCTGGCTTTTGAGTGAAAGAAAATCCTATAATAAAATGGGTGTGTAGCCTGTGAGTTATAACTTTTTTTCCATCCACATAAGCTTCAACATATTCTCTCTTTTTTTTCTATGCTTTATATCTCCTTTTTTCACATATCCACTAATCTTTTCTGGTGACAGTTCTTAATGAAGTTTTTTTTTGTTCTTATATTCCTTTCTTTTTATGCTAATTGAGGTGGATGTTAGTTAAACTTTACTTCTTCTTCTTTTCTTACATTTTTTTTTTGCACTTTTGACCTTTTTTTTTCACTGCTTTTTCTGCCTTTTTTTCCAACCAAACTCTATTAAAAATCCTTGTCAATTGTCAACTTTTTTCACCTCAAACTGTGCCTTCTTTAACTTAATTAAAAATAATTATTTTTACAGGAGCTTCAACAAAATTTTTCGTACAGCCATAACTGGCTGAAATTTTGCATTGAACTAGTATTTTATTTTGGGTGGGACACTATGTACTTGGTGTGTGCTTTTCTCTCCGTGTATGGAAAAAGCGCAAAAAAAAGAAAGAAATTTTCTTTTCTGTATGAGCGAATCGTTAACGCATGCTTTTTGCCTTTGTAGATAAAAGCTCAGTTTGAATGTGTTGGAAGCTTTCTCGTGATTTTCGGCACTTTCGTGTCCTTTTTTTTATACGTTCGTCACACATTGTCCGACTCATATGTGTGTATATATTTGTGAATGATCTATAAATGTATTTCTTTTTTTTTTTGCTTCTCTCGGTTATGGTTATAAAAAGATTTCAGCTTGAAGTTTGAGGAAAAAGGTAACTAAGGCCAACTTCTCATATTAAAGTAATAAAAGAAAAAAAATGAGGAAAAATCAATTTTTTTTGCAATACTGGAATTTTTCCTCCTTTTTTTTTGTGACATGAGAGAAAATTTTTAATAATTAATTTTTCAGGCACTAAAATAAATTATTTTTTTTTATATTCCATGTACGTGATGATGATGATAATGATTGTGATGATGGTGGATATATTTTATATTAATTTTATATTTCACTCACAATTTGAATTTTTTCTATATATATTTTTTTAATATCCTTAATCCCTAAGATTTAGATGCTATAATTAATAAATTTTTACTATAAAATTAACAGTTATTTTTAAGTGTATTGTAAAAACTATTATTAATTTTTTTTATAATATTTTAATTCTGTCCAGATCCACACTCAACGTAACTTGAATTGATGAGAGTTCAACTCGATTTGAAATGAGTGAGTGAGAAATTGGAATAACGAAAATAACGTTGCCTTATTTTTTTTGTTGTTGCTTGATGTCAATGTATTTGAGAGAGTTTCTTTCCTTTTTGGCTGTGCAAAAATGTATATAAAAAAAAGGAAAAGGAACTTTCAAGTGTATGGCTTAGTGTAGAGACATTGCAAAGTTCTAACACTTTAAACATAGTCCTCATGCCGTGTGTGCACCATTGTAAGCTATTAAATGCGCACGCGTTTTCCCGGGAATCCTTCGATGTCTGTACACGATGAATCGACTTTTGTGGATGTATGCGTTTGAGAGAGAAAGAGTAAAGGGAATAAAATACACAACACGAAATACCTTAATACACATTTTCACCATCACTTCTCCAAAAATTCGCTTTTCATTAAATGTATTGATTTGTGTGCTTTTATTAAGCAGCAGCAGCAGAGATATTTACATTTGTAAAAAAGCCGTTATCATCAGATTCCTACAGCATTATCACAACATAATATTTTTTTTTCTTTCTTTTCTCTCTTCATTCACTCATTCCTCGGATTTTTAGCCTTTTGTGCCTTTTGTGAAAAGCATGAAATAAAACAAAATTTCAAAAAAAAAAATTGATGTGTGTGCCTTATGAAATGATGATGTAGGAAAGATGAATTTCTGGTGTGTAACAAAAACCAATGATGCTTTTCTAAAAGGAACTGAGGAGAGAAAAAAAACCATCAAGCATTTCATTGTTTGAATCTCTATGTCGCCTATTGTATTAGAGAGATATATTTTTTCTTTGCTTTCTTTTCTTGGATGAAAAACAGCAGTACCATCAATATTGAGATATATATTTTTCGCTTAAATTCTTTAAATCGATTTCACAGCAAAACAAGTCCCTCCACATCCATTCTAGAAACTCTCTTTTATTCTTATTAATATTATCTTTTTGATGAGCACTTTTTGGACGATGATTTGTGCTCTTGTAATTTCTGTTGACTGGCTGGATTGATTAATTTGTGCGATATCTTCATCTCTTACACTTGACGACTAGTCATTTTGTGCGTCTGAAACGATGCTTCAGAGGAATGGACTAAGGAATTGACATCTTGAGTGAAATTGTTTTGAATTATTTAGGATTGTAGATTGGACGATCTTTTGTTATCTGAATTTGTATGAAGTTTTGTGGAAATTGAGTAATGAATTTGGAATTGCCATGTTTTTTTGTCAACGGAATTCAATTTGTTTCTACATGATAACTGCATGGTTTGAATTCACTTTGGCTCTATCTTTAGAAACTTTTCAAACAAAGGTTATCAAACTTGTAGACAGAGAAGCTTTAAGCTTAACAATGCCCCATTTTTCGAAAGCTCTGTAGACTCACTTTGTTAAAATTGTTCAAGAAATGCAAACGTCTTTGTTCCAGGTATATGCATCATTTATAATGAATTAAGGACGTCTGTTGAATTTTTTGAGCACTTTGATATTTTGTGGTTTGGTTCCTGAATCTATCTTAGGTCGATTTTTCGTTGCTGAGTGTCAAGTTAAAATGAAGTTTCAATTCTTGCCGCTAGTTGTTTTTTTTTGTCTAACTTAGTAAGAGCATTGTGTCTCAAACAGTGTTTCATTAACAGGAAAACAGGTTGTTGAATTGAATAATTTGTTTGAGTCAAGCAATAAACACATTTTTTTGCTTGATAAAATCAGGATTAGTTGATTTCGACTTCTGATGTTAACTTTTATTGTAGATTTAGCTATTTCTTAATTGTCTTTAAAATCGCTTCACTGGTCTAAACAGTAGAGCTTTCAAATTATCATTTCGAAATCCTGGGTTCGATCCCAAGTCTTATAAAATTAATTAACAATTTATTTATTATTGATATATTTTTTTGCAAACTTGTTCATCTATACTAGTGGTTGACAACTTTTTTTCAGCCACGGCACACCTTGGTGGCTAGCCCTACACAAAACCGTACACAGCATATGGTTGTGGGATTTCCCAATTTTTATTTCGGCACACTAGTGTGTGCAGCTCACAAGTTGGCCATCATTGATTTAAACTTCCATAAATTTAAGCATTTTTCGATATCTTATTACCTAAACAACATTAAGCTCAAATTGAAATCTACCCAAAAAAAATATCAATCAACTCTCCAACAATAAATTTCCAACCCATAAAACCTGAAGAAAAATGCGCTCTAATCATCCACTTCCGGTAATTTATACACTTCATTTCATCTTATGGATATATATTTATATTATACATGGAAGATGATGCTGATGATGATGAAGAAAAGAAAAGAAGGAAGAAAAAAAAGAAATTTTCATTTCACTTCCATTATTTTCAATTGGAACAATGAGAACAGAAATTGAGACAAAGAGGAGATGAGAGGAGAAGCAAGCAGCAAAAAAAAACTTTTTTTTATTGTTTATGTTTGCTGGGTGTGTATTGCATTTTGTTGTTGTTGCTTCATTTCCTTTTAAGCTCATTTTTATCCTTCCTTCCCTGCCTCGATTTTGCTTTTGCCATTCCCATACCTACAATCATTTACACAAATAAAATAAGTGAAATAAATATATGTATTGTATGCACATAAATTTCAACGTATATATGTATTCCACTCTGACTATAAAGTGTCTTATGAAGCATTGAATTGAATCAGCGAAGAATAAAGAGAAGAGAAAAAAAATTGTTTCCGGAATAAATATTGTATGTGATGTGACAATTTTAGAGAAAAATCTCCTTCATCTTCTTCTTATTCTCGCGTGTGTATTCGTTAAATTTACGAGCTAATGCTCTTCATTCGTCTGACTGATTTATCCCATAACAATAATATTAATTTTGATTTTATCTCATTGCTCAATTAATTTGTGTTTGATTTATTGGTTGGAATTAGTGAAACTATTCCTTTATTGTGTAGTTTGAGGTTCATATTGGTTCATATAAGCAATTAGTATTTACATGGATAATATGATTAAGTAAATATTGATACTTAAACTGTTTAAATCGGATTAACAATTTAAAATGATAATTTGTCAAGCTTTTAAACAGCTCATGAAAGCTTAAATGTAAGTTCATGTGGTTAAATTAATGTTTTAAATGAATATATCTCGTTAGTTTTAAGTTCTTTAACGATATTCCTATATCATTGAATCTTAAACAATATATATAATAATAAGTTGATTAAGGTTTTTATGCCGGGTGAAATTGTGCAAATACATTCGTAAATGACGGATATCAAAAAATAAGATTCATTCATTCTTTCTGTCAAAAAACTTTCATACAAGATCTACTCACTAATATCAATCTACTCTCTAATAATAAGGATATCAATAACAACCAAACTATGTTTAAACCAGGGTTGCGATATAGGCACCTTTGCATAGGTGAGAACCGTACAATACCTTGATAAATTGTGAGGTTTTATTGATTCCATTAATTTCTACGAAATAAATCAAACCATCACCAGCATTTGACTAAAACTCAATAAACTTTAAATCTCATTTCTATCAACAACTATTGTCATTGTCAACAAACGCTTTTAAAGCCAAGATAACAATATTTTCTGCTTGTTTGTGTCGTTTCTCGTTTTTATAACGCAGATAAGAAGGCAATAAATTTTTTTTTGCATAAAACATTTTCAAATCATAAAATTTTTTTCAACTTCTTGGAAAAAAAAAGCTCACTCAAATGTACTTCACGTGGAAAATTGTAAAGATTTCCCCATTTTTATGTATGAATTGTTTTATAATTCAAATTTCTATATCTTTTATGCCGGCATTTAAAAGATGTTTTTGTGCAAATAAAATTACTATATTGCTTACACTTTCCTTTTTATCATGAAAAGAAAGCAAAAAAAAAAAAAAATACTTTTTACAACTTATTTTTTGCGGATACTTAAGTGCGTGTGACGCAGTTAGACATTGTGTTTTTTTCTGTTTGTGATGAAAGTCTTATCGAGATTTATGAGAAAAATAATTCCATTTAGTGGCAAGGGTGGAAATTGAGTAGAACAGGAAGACAAAACAATAACCTAGTCCAAGATATTCATTGATTTAAGGATTGAAGCTTTGCTTTTTGGGAATGAGATGTGATTGTGCTAGTTTACTGAGGAAGTGTTGAATAAGGGAATTTATTTTGTTGATTTCTAAATGTTTAAAGCCGTTTAAAGGAAATAAAGGGGGAAAACTACTTTGTGGAAAAACAAAATTTTGACGAAAAATTGATCGAGGTTGATAGAATTTTTTTCCATCAAGTGCCTCCCCCCCCCCCCCCCCCTGAGTTAATATGCAAATTTATTTACGATTGTTTTTGAGAGATAAAGGGTGAATGACATCAAAACCACATTCCTTGCTTCCCCTGATGAAGTCAGACAATTGTTGAGAAATGTATGAGGAGATAGAAGGAGAAGGGCCTGATTCCAAGTACAAAAACTTTAACTTTGCCTCATCTATATATTCGTTAAATCAGAAAATTCGCTTACCTTGCATAGATTTTGGTGATCTTGTATTCCTTTAAAGCACCTTATCTCCCTGTTGAGATATCCAATATTATTTGTTAACCGATTTAAACACAAGTTTTCAATTTTCCACGAGTTTATCGACTGAATTTTTTATGAAACATTTTTTCATGGATTACTTTGATCAATTATTTCACACCCCTTCTTGTCACACATCTAGTTTTTGATCATGAAACGAAGGATTTAACAGAGACATAGGAAATGCAGTCAGCAAGCGATAGTAAGAAGCCATTGATAACATCTGAGCCTCCAAAAACAAAATGTTTATTCACGAACAAGCTGACATTTACCCACAGCATGGCATCATTAAGATACGATCTCCGTAAATAACTTTGATTAAATGGAGCATTAACATCTTTACAGACAACACTGCTACACAATTTTGTTTAAAAGCTCTTCAGACAGCCTCAAATGCGATAATTCTACAACCAATTCTGTCTAAAAGGAAAATATTTTTACAGATTCATCATAATGGAATTGATATTGATATCGAATTGATTCACAACAACGATAATGTACACGGCGTGTATATACACAATATACAACAATACAGTATATCCATATATCACAACAGCATTCGAATAAGCAAATGAGATAGATTTATAGTAAGTCATAAAAAATTGTATGATATAATATATTATTAACATCAACGTGAATCTGTAAAAATGTTTTTTGATAGGCGGCATAATAATGGAAGTGAAATACACACACACATAGAAGGAACCAGAATAAAAAGTATCTTAAAACTACTGCCATCAAATTTATGACTATTTGAGTTTGCCTTTGTGTGAAATATGCAGAAAATTTTATATCTTTGACCTAAAAATAAGCATTGTTTCTATGCTGTAACATATATAGAATTTTTTTTCCCTCCTCTCCCATTTTCATGCTCTGTCCTGATTAAACAAAGTTTTTTTTCCATCTTTCCATTTTTGTGCTGTTTTTTTTTTTTGTACGGAGATTCACAATTGAACTTTATACATGTGTATTTCTACTATTTCTATTTTTTTTTGTATTGCAAAAAAAAAAGCTAAGAACAAATTTTTTTTCTACTCTCATGCACTCTCATGTATTATTATTGCAAAAACATTTTTCTTCCTTCAGGACTTTTGATACAAAATGTCCGCGTTAGATTTATATACATACATATGTGTGCTTACACAAGCTTGCACAAATAATCGGCAGCAGCTTGATGAAATTTCTCATCAATTCCTACTATTTCATATTAGTTTCTGAACCAAATTTCTTCCCATCATGTTGTTATCCCCTTAACCATTTGTGACTTTAAATTGTATGAAGGACAGAGTCTGGCAAAGTTTTTAAGCTTAAGGCAACTTTCTATTGAATCATATGTTCATTATCCATTTAGACATACCAGGGGGATAACAACATGATGAGAAAAAGTTTGAATACGAATCGCCGCAATTTTTCTTCAAAATTTTGATGAAAAATCATTGAAAATATTCCGATGTTGTATGTGTGTGTGGGAGGGGGTGGGTGAGTTTGTGGTAATTTTCTATTAAAACTAATTTCCATGATGTTGTTTCCCCCTTGGTTGATCATGTCACAGAAATTTGCATATTCAAAGTATAGTGAAAGATTGTAAACTTAATACCTAATGCTGTGCTCCCCCTCCTCCTTCCCTTCTAATTTCCAGTATAAAGTGTTACACATCTTCAGGGCATGGTTTCTAGTGCCTACTCTAGTCTCAGATTAATTGTATTAATGTCCCATAGCTATAGTAAATTGAAATTATTTTTTTACCCTAGAGTTCCCCGACTAGACCTAGAAACTAGCCCCAGATCATTCAACCCAAAACATTTGACATCATAAATGAATATCCCCATCAAAAGAGAAAATATGTAGATGTTTAAAGAATTTGTGGTTGAACAGCAACGGCGCATTTATCAAGTACTTTAAGGATCTCGTATGGTAAAAAGATTTAAAGCTTAAACGCTTCGATGGTGACTGCGGTTAAGCATTTTATCTTGCATGAAAGCTGAGTCTATGGATTGTTTTCATACAACCAAAATAGTCACTAGCATGCAAAATGAACATAAAATTTGTATTGATTCATTTCTGGTAATTTTGGGCAATTGCGTGAACACAGTGATTTGTGACTGAATGTGTGTATTTTTTGAGGAAACTTGATCTCCAATATCTATTTATTTATTTGTAGTATTGATAATTGGATGTATCTGATTACAGCTATCAAATTTATTGATTTAAATTGATATGAAATAACATTTTCTTGATTGCAATAGCATCAAATTTCGCCTGTTGGGAAATATTTGTCGTTTGGTATGAAATTTTGTTGTGTGTGACACAAAATGATACTTCCTCGACCATTAGGAAATTGATATGGCAAGTTTGAACTGTATCAATGTTACATTTGTAGACTTTACCTTTGGGAGGAAGTAGAATTGCTTTGATTTCGAAGGACAATCTAGTTTATTTTGAGCTGGTGTGGATTTCCTTTTTGGATTGAAGCAATCATGTTTCCAAGTAATGTAATCCTGATTTTTATTGAAAAAATTGGAACAATTAATAACAAAATGGTTGATAATTTTTAAAAATTAAAGTCACGTGTATTTTTGGTGGGAAATTTTTCTACACTTGGAGTTTTCAATAATCAATTTAAAATCAATTAGGCACTAGTTTTGCATTTGAATGGATTTATTTGTTAAAATGTAAGTGAGCAAACAAGATTTTACCAAAATTTCGTTCCAAATTCTGTTTAAAAATGATTAAAAGCTAAATTTAAATAATTTTTCAAAATGACGGTACAAAAACCAATTTTTCCAAAATATTTTGTGCCAGAACTCAATCCACAACTAATCTGGTCACCGCCAACGATGCAATCACTCTCCATTGCCCTGCTCCCAAAAAAGAAATTTACAAACCTTTCACGTAAGCTTCCGTTTCCATGAATAAATCTTTCAACATACACGATTTCTAAAACTTTACGATGCTGGATGCTCGTGCTTTAATCCAAAAAAAAAAGAAAACTTTAAAGAGTGAAAGCAGTAATATTTCAACAGGAATGGCTTTAGATCCTAAACATAAAAGGTAAAAAGGAGTGAAAAGCTGAATTAAAAATTCATTCTATTGTGCTGTACCTCTCGCAGATGTATTAGATCCGATGAGGATGTTGATATTGATGCTGATACAAGATGAAAAAGTAGATAGTGATTTTTAGATGGAGAAATGTGCTACTGGGAATTGGATGGATTTTTTATGGCAAATTTTTTGTGTCCTGTGTGGAAGTGTAAGTTTGTCATATCACATACTTTGTAGATTTTTAACGTATTTTCTTCCGGCTTGTCATTTTGGTACCGGTTGTAAAACCTTTAACTCCAGCTCAATAATTTATGTCCTGAATATTTTAATACAAGATAATAGCAATCGAAATCTCCAATCGCAGTCATAATTTACTACAATATGTCTAATGTGTACAATATAAACGAAGGCCTCATCTTTAATTTATTATTGTAGTCATACTGTGGTCATTGAGAAATAAAAGAACTGATAAGGAAGTGCTTAGATCAATGAAAATCACTAGCGAGGCTGATTTCAAGAATTATTCTAACCTTGAATTGAAAATCGATATATCTATAGATCTTCCTATAACTGTCATGTGTGTATGCTTACTACTTCGCTGGCCGTACAGATCAATTGTGATCAATGGTCTTCTTTAGATGGCACCTGAAACTGGCTCTATTCTGAGTTCCCGATCGCCAATTACCCATGCCAAATGCAATACTGTCAAATGTGTATACTAATGTAAAACAAATCGGAATCGATGGGAACCAAACCCACGACCTCAAAGAGGCGAGTTCTGACCACTCGATTTGAGATTCCTGCCACTCTACCAACAAGGTACTTTTCTCTCATCAGCAAACCGTCATACACATATAATCAGTTCAACGAGAGCATTATGTTCAGGCCTATCTATTCCAGATATGCTCTTCGAGCCATATCTACAATATCGACTCCTGGAAAATGACTAAACTTTATTTGTGACTAAGGTAAGAGACCTAGCAAGTCCTAAAAAACCAATAATGAATTGGGATTTAAGTAAATAACATTTTGACAAGTTAAGGATCGCTAGGAATTAATATTCTTAATTCAGTGAAGATGATTTACTTCATTGACTGTGGATATCGACTGCCATCGATGGCGTTAATAAGATGTCGCTTGAAGCTATCTCTCTATCGCTAGCTCCTCATAGTTAATTGTTTAGATGCAAAATAATACTTGGAAGTTCAAATAGGGCTAGACTCCTGCAAAATACCCTCTGTACCACGCATTTACTTTAACAAAATGAATCCAAACTTAATGTTTGCTCTTATAAATTATTTTATCAAATATTGTGTATATTCCCACAGCCTGTATACATCTTCTACGTATAGCGGTACTTAAGAGAGTTAAGGAAACAATATTCTTTGATAGTAATTCATCGAAATCTGTTAACTCAGCAATAAGATATTTAAAAGATAACAGCTGAACGATATTCACGACAACAGCGTACCAAACTGCGCAAAATATTTTCCTTTCCCCAATTTTTGTAAAAATGAAGAAAAAAAAAACTATGCTAAAAATAATAATTGTAGCTAGATAAAGGCACACAAAAAAAAATTGGATGTATGCATATCTCTCTATATCTATTCATCCACTTCTTTCGATAGAACGCTATATGCCATATCATTTTTACAACAATAAAGTGCTTTGCAAGCAAGCATGTAAGCGGAATTGCTCTCATAAAGTAAAATACTATTTCTTTCCTCTTTTCCGCACTCTCACTTACATCCAACAACTTATTTTTTTTTTCTGCTGTGTTAGACTGAACCATATTCGCCTTTTATATCGGTTCAGTGGAAGAGAAAATTTGCTAAATTTTCACAATATGCAAAAAAAAAATAATAAAGAACTGAAAAAGAAGGAATCTAACAAAGGCAGGAAATAAGAGAGGTGAGAAACAGTTTACTTTTTAATTCCGTTGTATTATTTGTAAAGAAGAGGAAGTTTTTAGTAAGAGATATATGATGATAATTTTACATGTTTCCTCTCTCATCCCGACCGGAAGAAAAACTACCTTCAGCCTTATCTTGCTGAATATTGAATGATATAAATTTTATGAGTTTGAACCTTTTTTTTCGGTGCATTTTTTAATTTGGAGTTCTTGAGTTTTGTTATGTTGACAGACTGGCTTTGGGAAAACAGCATTATGGGAAATTTAAGAACGAGGAAGTGAGAAATTGATTAAGGATTGCTCCCGAATAGCACAAGTCGGTAAATGGAATAAAAATCCCCAAACAAGCGGGACTCTGGCATTATGCTGGACTCAAATCGAATCTAGCACCATATCAGAGTTACATCCGGATTTCTATTCGATTAACCGACTTGTGTTATTCGGAGCTATGCTCTCAAGATAATTATCACTAGAATCCTACCACAATGTGAAATTTGCTGCAGTAATTAGAAAAGTATTTAAAGCAAAACAAGCACTAATCTTTTGTTGACATCTAAAAATGTACAATTAGAAATTCATCTCGACTCAGGCTATTTAAATTAAGGGATTAGGTTGAATTTCATAGAAAAAAAATCTCTTTCAATTTGTGAAATTTAATCTAAAGCTTCGTTCGAATTTTACAGGAAAATCAGAAACGCACTTCATTGATAGATTCTTTGACATTTTAGTTCTGTAAAAAAACATCGAAGTACTCAATTTGTATTTCGAAGAAGACTAAAAAAGACTGAACCAATTTGATACAGTCGCTTTTTGTTCTGTGGAATGCAAAATGCAATTCATTGAAGCACTTTGATGTTTCTTGACTGAGAATTGCGAGGACTGAATTAATCTGACTTTAATTATAAATGTAGAAAATTCGATTTGAAAGCAAAAAATTACAAAAGTCTTGTTGTTATTGATAGAGGGACTACAGTGCATTTTTGACACAGCGATTAGTATAATTTTTTAAAAAAAATGCAAGTCAATTATCAAATATCTCGAGAAGTTTGCCATTAGCCATTAGGTGCAGCAAAAAAGTTTGTCTTTTAACGGTTTTTTAAAATTCAAATTTTAAAACGGTTTCATAAATTTAAAATTTTCCCGCCGTGTTTATATTATTTAAGTCTTAATTAAGAATTCTTTTTGACCAAACAAATCAACTTTGAAAAATATAAACTCTTTAATTTACAGGATTTGTCCTTTAACCTTTTTCTTGAATTCTCAATAATTTGTAATTAAACGGTTTTTTGAGATTCAAATATTTTAACGGTAGAAATAAATTTGAATTTCTAAACGCACCCGAACATTTTTTAACGGTAGAAAAAGTTCAAATTTTAAAAGTCACTCATCAAAAAGATGTTCGAAATTACATACTTCACAAAAGCGAAAACTCATTCTTCAGAAGAAAAAAACATCAAGTTTTAGCCATTTTTGTCATTTTATTAAAAAAGTATTTCGTACAAGTTCTCAACCATTGAACTTTTAAAGTTTTTATTTTCCCATAAATTGAAGCATAGGATCTTCAGCTCGTGACCTCTTCATATGATAAGCTTCGACTTCTTCCTCTGTTGGTGCCTTTGCATCATACATGCTGTTGTATTTTCGTTTCCGCTCATCAACATTTTTCATTTCCTCAAATTCTCTAAGCCGTGCTTCTTCTTTTTCTAGGGCAATTTGCAGCTTATCCTTCTCTTTATCCTTATTTTTGCGTCGATCTTTTTGCTTTTTTTTCTTTTTACGTTTTTTATCGCGTTTCCTTAATTTCTGTTTTTCACGTTCTTTATCGCTGTCTGTCGAATCCGATCCTGATGATGATGACGACGATGATTGGTCCTTTACTGGTGATTTACGCGATTCCTTTACAATTTCAACTTTCCTCGTTTCAATTTGGTCCTGATCTGAGTCCTCAGAATGATGATGATTCGCTGAAACAAATCCACTGCTGGATGGAGCTTCTGATGTGTCAATTTCAGCACCAATGCTTTGTTTGCAACACCAAGAATTTTTAATAAATGATTTACAGCATTTAAATCCCCATTTTCCATTATTCCAATAAGATCCAAAGACTGTCGTGTGATTGTTGATGTAACTGTCTTCCTCATATCGACTACGAACAATTGGCTTCTCAACACCTTTAATTATTCGTCCATCACGTGCATATTCAACGTATGTTTCACTTTGTGCTAATAAAAGCTGTCTTGGTGGTGCTTTTAAATGCTCCTCGCCTCCGTACTTTTCTAGCACATTATCCTTAACACTTGTCTTGAATTCTTCCTTCTTCGACTCATATTCCTTTTGGAGTAACTCCAATTTTGTTGGTTCGGCCAAGACATGAACATCAACACCTTTACTTGCTGCTTCCCATGAAAATAATTGAGCCTTTGCGTGTGCTTGTGTATCTCCTGTATATCTGACAAAATTCTCACCACCAAACTCAACATCTTCAGCACTTTTATTTGGAAGTGGATTCTCACGCATAGATCTTGTCTTTGGATCATAAAATGCTGAATTTGGATCTAAATTACGGAGATATTTTGCTGTATCTTCACGAATACGTAAATTTCGGACTGTAATTCTCTGTTTACTGTCCACTTTTGTTCCAGGCATGTCAATTCCGTCCGCATACTTGTCTTCGTCTTCACTGGATGATTCGGCATTAGGATCTTCTTTTAATCTTTCAGCTTTAATTTGTCGTTTTGCTTCCTCAATTTTCTGATATTCTTCGACAATTTCACGGTGATTTGCTGGATCATATCCAGACCAACGATCTCTTTTACCATCATAGTCTGGATTTAATTCAGGCTGAACAAACTCATCATATGCAATTGCGGCATTTGTGAATTTTGCACCAATCTTTCGTGGTCTCTCTAGACAATCTTTCTTTTTATGAGTCATAGCTCCACAATTCTCACAAGCTCCTTTACGAAACTTTGTTGCTACTCTCGTTTTGTCTACGCCTTTCTTGTACCAATCATCAATTGCTGAATATTCTTTTAATTTCTCTTCCTGTGGTCGTTGATGTTTTAATGTTGGTCCAGCAGTTCCATAATACCAAGGTGCACTCGATATATATTGTGGAATGTGTGGATTAATGTCTCTACCTAAATAATTAAAAAAATTGGTATTTCATTCACTGGATCATTGTTTTTCAATAGATTATATGATTTCTTACCTTCTTCATCAACAGCAGCAGGTACTTGACCAGCCTTTCTGGCTTCTTCAAGCTCTTTTGCTTTCCTCCAATCCTCTCTTGTTTTTTTAGCCGGTTCTTCATTACTTTCAGCTGATTTATCTGTTAACAACTGTGATATTGGTATTTTTGGACCATTCATCTTTATGATGAACTTTAATTTAAACTTCTTACTGCCTTAGATATAGTTTAATTAATGAATTTGTATTTTCAGTATAAAAACGATTAAAAGATGATATTATTCTAGTGATTTGCCCCGTGTTTTGTTTAAATTTGAAATTTTTTCTACCGTTAATTTTTGCTATAAAAGTTTGCTATAAAACATTATTTTATATGGATTTATTGTAGATTTTAATTGAATATGATTTTGAGGTAAACTAATTAGTTGAAAATTGAATTGAATTCCAAAAATGGTTTAAATAGTAAAATTTGAAAATATTCTGAAAGCTCTAAAGAAGAAAAGCTTTTTCCTATAAAAGCTCAATTCAAATTTCAAAAAACCGTTTAACACAAAAATTGCAAAATAAGTCTCTGAAAGTTCAAGCTTTCAACTAAAATATTAAAATCCAAAAAATATACATACACATTAATTTTCTTCGTCTCTTTTACATTTTCAATTTAAAGACATTTCTGTGTATTTTGCAACAACTTGTAAGTGCGAACTTTATAATCTCTTACGCGAGAAGTAAGTAACAAATTTATTTTTTCTCTTTCAGTTATTAAAATATACAGCTGTGATATTAAGAATAACATTAATAATTAATTTGTGCTTGAAGCTATTACGACAGTTATTAGTATGACTTTGTTTTGTGGGTTGTGCTTGTAAAGTTTGTGCTCGAATTTCATTTGTAAATTGAAAAGTGCCTTACCTTTTGAGTGTTTTGTCGTGAGAGGAAACCTGAAATATTAATCATTAGTTGAATAAAGGGGTTGTTTGTTCAATGCGATCGCTGTTAAGATGAGAAGATTGGAGGGGCAGTTGAGGAGTAACAGTCTAAAGAGTGTTCGGCTCAACAGATCAAGAGGGGTGGGGGGGGGGGGGGGGGGGGGGTTGGTCGTTATTTTCTACAAAATAGATCTTCTACAAACCTACTAGATACTCAGTCTAGGTATAAGCTCCTGAAATTTTAAAATAAAATACACCTCATTTATGAACAAACCTTAATGATACCAAAATAATATTTTAATTGAAAAGTCAAATTCCATATTCTTTTTGTTTTCATTTTCATCATTCTTCATTTTCTTTATTTACAGGCTCAAATATCTACAGTGTATAATTTCAATGAATTTTCCTTATTATGAATTATATTTACGAACTAGATGTTTTACTTTTTACTATTTTTTGATATTCATTGAATTTCGATTTTTATTATAAAATTTTTTTTCTTTACAATTTTTACAATAAAGTATTTTTCTGAGGCGTATATACTGATTTTCATTCCTTCCTTCCTTATTTTTTTTATAATTTTGGAAAAATCAAAAAGTTTCCGAAACCCAAAAGTTTTTGAGCTTCACAATTTAAATTTGAAAGTTCCTTGTTTACATTTTATTAACAAATTTTTTTTCTGTATTTATTGAAGCAGAAGTTGAAGGAATACATTCCCATATCTTGTAAGATGTGCTTGTATGTTTTTCCATCGTTTGATGAACAACTCTTTGACTTGAGGAAAAGCTTCAATATTTGTTTTGACATTAATAAGCAATCGTGCAGTCTATTTTGATGCTTGGAACTTTAATGGGAGCAGTTACATTAATCAACTGTTTGTTTTAAGCTTCTTGATCTTGATTTTTGAATCATTTTCCAAGCAATTTAGAATTTTCGAATGAGAGGATGGATAGTTATCTGTGATAATTGTGGATATTAATCATGTTTATGCTTCAACTTGACTTCCTTGATTTATAATTTTTTGTTGTTTAACATGATTTTTAGAAAATATATGAGAAGATTTTGAAAACTTCAGCAGAAAGTTCTCTTTTGCGACAATCTTAACTGATATCAGGACTCAAATCTAGTTTTTATTCAAAAAATGCGAAAATGGACAATTGGCGCCAAAACTTAGTTCAAACGAAAAGAAAAAGGAATAATTTACATTCAAATCGCGGTCCAGTTGAATTTTGATGATCTCAACGAAATGTCTGTCCATTCTTCATCTCTCTTGACTTTCAATTAACAGTTTTTGTGTTGCTTGAAACTTAAAGATTCAATTTCGATTTAGAATTTCATTTCATTTAACACATTTCGATTTGCAGACATTTGAAATTGATTAAAATCGGTTGTCAAATGGATAGAATACTTTGAAGCAAGCATCAACAACTTAAATATGATTCCCAGGTAGCTGTTCCTTGTTTCTAAGTATGACCACTGACTACACAACATTTCAATATGTGCCAATTGATTATCTTGGTTATAAATCCTTTCAAACTCGAAGCAGAACATCCAACAATCAATAATTAAATTATAAATCACAATCTATTTACGTGTGGATGTAATCAATGACATCCAGTCAATGTAATATGAGTAATAGCATTGTCGAAAACATTGTTGACAACTTACAAGATCCAACAAAAAAAGGAGAAAGAAACTTTTCTTCCATTTCTGACAGATATCAAAAGAATGAGATCGTAGACCAGACATGTTATTAAGAACCATCTCTTAAATTTTACGATTTCCCAGACTTGTCAGAACTTGTCCATAGAGAAAAACTTCAAAAAGTTTTTCGTGCATAGCTGCCACTCGATAATCTTACATGTCGGTCTATAAGTATATACGCCTTAAAAAAACTTTTTTCATTCCAATCTATGGTTGAAGGGTCGTTCACAAATGATGTCTATTAGAAAATGGGAATTTGTATGCAGTGTCCTTATAATTGTTCCTTATAATTGATGAACATAGTTTGAGATTTTGAGAAATTTCAAACATAAGAATTGTTTTTGTATGAACAACTTGGGAAATAGAAACTTTCTATAGATCATCATAAATGAACGACCCCCTCAAAGAAGATTGGAAGTAAATTTATTTCATAGAGATTAAACATTTAACAACAAACAAACGATATCCTACGGTTGGTAATCAATTTTTTATTACTTTAATTTACTTTTCAATCTCTTTAATATTTTTTTATAATAAAATTTGATTTACTTTAACTTATCATTAAATTTTTTTTATCTTCTTCTTTTAATTCCTCATCCTTAATAAGTCTTAGCGTGTTAATAATTTTTCTTTATTTCATTATGAAAAAAATTCTCGTCTAAACTTTAGTCACAATTTTTTTTTTCTTTTTATTTAATTTTAATATTTTCATTGAGCTGTGTGGGATATGAAAAAAATTTAAAAGGCTTGAGCATCTGGAGTCTAATTAAAACATTTCATCGTATTCGAGGATGTCTTTGAACAATTTGTTTTTTGTGTCTATTAACGTTACATAGAACTTCCATTACACATCCATCTCGTTATCAGTCATTCAGATTAAACAAGCAGAAGTTAGAAAAAATTTTTACGACATTTTATACAAATTTACTTTGCTTGTTTATCTCGTAACTTTATATGCTTTGAAGTGATGAATTTTGATGATATTAAAAAGGAGCCATGATATATTAATTAGGAATTACAGAATTGGTTTGAAACCTAGATCGTATCCGAACATCTTGTTCGAATCCTATAAAATCCAAATAGAAACTCTGCATAGCATGTAGTTTGACAGGAGCCGGTTTATCCTCGAGTCTAGGCAGTATTAGAATATTTGACAGGATAAACTCAAGAAATCACCTCAAAACAACTAGCCAGACTATCTTAATTACAGATTATATTGACTCAAACTGTCTCCTCTAACTTCATCCTTATTAAGACTAGCTTTTGAAGTCAGCCTATGTTTAAAAAGCGATCCTCAGTTCATCGAATAGATATCCAAAACTATGCCTGCATAACTCTGGCATGGTCACTGGATTTGAGTCCAGCTCCATACCAGAGTCACTCAGGCTTGGTGCTGAATTTCTATTCGATCCGAATTGTGCAATTTTAAAGCTTACTGCTCAATTAAAACTATTCACACGAAGCTAGCTTTATAGAGCTGTTTCATAGTTTGTCACATGCCTTAACTTCGACATCTATAATTTGTTCAAGCATTAATGTAAAAGAAATAATTCCTCTTCCTCTTTATAGCTCCCCATCAACATACAGTCCCATTAAGATGATTCAAAATTAATTACAGGTCTCCCAAAAAATTGTGTAATCACTTCCATCAATAGCAAAAGTCACTTCAGAATAATTTTACTATAATTACCAATCATTCCAAAATCCATCATTATGTATCAAATTATATACAACTAGTTTCCTTTAATCCTCTACATTTTCTTCCCCCTAATTCCAATTAACATTTTGACAGCCAGATGATTTTCCTTAAAATATTTCCATTCCCACTCTTTAATTTTTGCTTAGTTCCATTATGAGTTTTTCCTCTTTTTGTTTTTGTGTGTTAGAAAATGATAATGTTAGGTAAAGTAATTATAAGATGATTGTATAATTGTATATAAACCAAGGGGGATAACAACACGATGGGAAAAATTTTTATGTGAGATTTATCATCAATTTCCATATTTCAATATTTTGGCTTGATTTAAAAATTTTCGCCCAACAAGCTGTTCTCCCCTTGATATAAACCAAGGGGGATAATAACATAATGGAAAAATTTTCACTTTTATCTCGACAAAATTTTCAAAGTGAAAAATGATTAAAATTTCTTCAATATTTCAAGTCAAAAAAACTTTCCCACCATGTTGTTACCCCCCTGATATTAACCAAAAAATTATCCCCCATTCAAAAGGATTATATCCATCGAATACAATACTAAATGAGAGATAATTTCTTATTCCTTCAATTTTAATTCCTATTATAAGCTTATGTTCTGTTGATGAGAAAAAGGATTTTCATTTTTCTCATTCGACGATCGATTCCTTTTGTGTTTCAAATTCAATTATTATCGTCTACATCATTATTAATTGATTATCAATTAGGAGATTTTTGATTAATAAAATGACTACTATTTGTTGTTTGTGGATTTAGATGCTGGATGATCTGTTGATTATTCAATGTCTTATCGCTGAATGTATTTAATGCGTAGGAGTTGATGAAATAATTTTGATTCTTTGACTCCTACGCATTGTGACATCAAGTTTGCGGATGGGCATTGATGTGATGACCCTCATGGGCTGAATGATCCATCGATGGACTTTGTGGATAGTACTAGTGGGGATTAAAAGGACAGCAAAGGATTACATAAAATTTTTTGACAACTTCCACTCGTCTCGAGCAGCATACGTACACCATAAACATTTACCTGTCCGTTATCATAATCTCTGGCACTTGTTATCGGAAGTCGACCCTTCGGTTTCATTGTGTCTGTCATTTGCATGGAATTAGATGTAAGCGATGTGGTCGTTGGCGATTTTTGACTTTTAAAGCAAAACTCGACGAGTGATATGGCAAGAGCGACAAGTAAACCACCAATTAGTATGTAAAATACACCCGATAGATTCGAAAGCGAGAGCTCACTCCTCGAGGCAAATGGATTATCCTTATCATTTTTACATTCCGTCTTCTCATACCACCATTTGTGCTGTAGTTTCGCCAGCTCACCACTTTCCTTTAGATGAAGAACGGCAAGATTTATTGGATCTCTGAAAGAAAGTCAGTTAATGTAATAGAAGAGGAAGAGATTAGCATAATGTTACTTAACAAAATATGTGTATGCCTAAAATGAGCAAAAAAGGAGCATTTTTTTTTATTGTGCGTATGAAAATGTTTGTGCTGCGATTCTGCTATGCCTTAAAAAAATCTTTCTCCATTTTTTTTGGCATTATATTCAAATGTTCGTGGGAAAGGCTGTGTATTATTCATGCTCTTTGTGTGTCTGTCGTCATGTCACATTCAAGTCACATTGGGTCTCGTGTTGCATAAAAGACTTTTTTCTTTCATCTTGTTGACTGTGGCTTCAACTTTTTACTAAAGGGCCGACTGCAATTGATGGTAAGCAGTGGTTAAGGAACAGTGTGGGATATCAGTGGCTATTATGAGTACCCAAATGTAGAAACGATAGATTATAGACTACACTCTGGAGTATAAATGAAATTTCGGCTGTAACTTGGGTAGAGTATCCAGTAAAGCCCTAGAAATTAGCCGGAAATTTGTTATATTAACTACCAAAAGGGTGCTGAATACCAGTTGCGGAAGCTCGGTTACCCTTTGAGCGCTACAATTAACATTGACGCCCATTGACACGACTGATAAGCGTAACGGTGCTTGACAGGAAATCATCATGCTGATACAGACTTTATAAATAGCTAAACCTTAAGTCTAACATCATCATATGTATACGACTCCCATTAAGTAAAAAAAAAATTGATAATCTTTAAAATAGATCCGATTGTGTTGAATCGGAAGTAAGTGAAATATTTTATGAACATCCGAACTTTTCTGTTTTCATTTACTTTAAAGCTCCCTCGCTTGAACACTTGCTATTTTTTAATTCAACGAGTGGGAGTTCCAGTAGCCAGCTGAGAATTTTCTATAAATAGAACAGAGCACTTCCTATTAAAAGTTTCTACTTCCTCCTATAAAATGTAGCGTTGTTTAAATAGGCCAAGAGCTACTTATTATGCTTAAAGCTACTTTAAATGTAAACATGTTAAAATGAAGTGGAAGTAAACAGCGCCATAATGAAATGATTTTTTAAAGGGAGAAGTTTAAGTGTTGTTGACTGTTTGGAATTTTGGATATGAATTTTTCGGAAAATTTTTGGTTATTCAATTATTGATGATTTATTTTGTTTGAGATTTTTCAGCTTTAAGGCACTTCAGTGGGATTTAAAGCTGTGTTAGTCTAGGGGTTTAAAGTCATGTGTAGATGAATCCGCTGGGACAAGATTAGGTCCTCTGTGGTCGAGTTGCTAGGCAATGAACCGAATATCTATTAATAATGATATTGTTTTGTGAAGACGAGGGTTCAAATCCCACCAGAGGTCTATCTCTTAAGCATTGCATTAAATGTTGCTTATATGACAAGGAATTGCATAGTAAGCAAGGTACAACAAAGTTTTATTATTTGAATGCAGATAGCAATGAGCTATTGACAAAGGAACTAATGCATATGTTATAACTCTTTCATCCACAAACACCTTAACATTTACACTCCATTACTTAATAAAATCTAATTCAATTTGTTCACCAAAGCATGTGCCATTTAAATGCGCTTTAACCCCTTCAAAATGATTCAATTACCCACCACTGCTTATTCTTTAAAGATTCCATCTCTCCAAAGCCTATGACTCAGTTTTAGTTGTTTTTGAAATAAACATTTGTTATGTACTCTATACACACATATATGTATGAACGTATTCATTTTAGATTCAAACTTTGTTTATGTGAGAATATAAAGGAAAAAGAGAAAGGAATTAAATTCGAAATGCAAATATTTGTGTTTATAATGTATTCCTTGGTTCAAAAGCACTTCACTGGAAATCCTTTTTTCTCTTTTTTTCAATTAATTTAACATTTAGAATCTGCTTTATTTTGCATTTTGGTTTTCATAGAATATAGAAAATAAGAAAATTGCATTAATTTGTCAGAAAGCTTCGGATTAATATTTTAATGGTTCTTGATTTTTCTTTTGGCATAATAATAATTTTTTATATTTTGTTGATGCTTTCTCTGAGATTACATTGATTCTAGTTTAAATTGGTAATGCAAGAAAGAGACGGAGATGTGAGTATGGTAAGAGATTTGGGGGAATTTAAATATATGAAAAAATTGATAATAGAATTTTTTGAGTTACGAATTTTTTCTTATATTATTAAGTTGAGTGAATAAGTTATTGGGAATTGGATTTGAGATGCAAAAGTTGGAGATTGAAGGTAATTGAATAAAAAGTTTGATTTTAGAGACTCTTCAGTTATAAAATCCAATCACTAAAAGTTGTACATCATTTATGAACGATCCTTTTCGGTGTATACTGTCTATATCACAGCATTGTCAAACCTTTAGTGCTCGGGCGATATTCAGATTAAAGCCATAAAACTAAGATTGACTGTTTTCTAGGTCACAACATGCATATTCATCACTTCCTCTTCAAAGCGTTCAGTAATAAAAATTCAAACCAAAAACACAATAAAACTGAGCAATTCCTCAGAAAAACCACAAAAAATACCGACAAAATGAATACGAAAAAACGTATTAAATTTCAAAACAAGCTAAGGGATTTCCCTTAAGTGCTTAATTTTGTTCATGTCTGGTTGAGAGAAGATAAATAAATTCCCGTTAGACAAAAGACTCTTTTAAAAAAAGAGAATATCATAAAAATCTATTGTGTTATCACATTTCAATTATTCAACAGGAGCTTATCATAATCGTTTTAAACAAAAGATGTTAATAAAGATATTGTTGATGATTTAAAATCCAGTGGGAATGTGACATTCGACTAGGAAGAATGATTTTGATATGTTTGTAGTGTCAAGAAAATCATGATTCAGGAAGTTTTTAAATTTGAAGAATTTCTCAGTTCAAAGTCAGAACTTCTCACTTTAAAGTCACGATTTCTCAGTTCAAAGTCAGAATTTCTCACTTTGAAATCAGAACTTCTCAGTTCAAAGTCAGAATTTCTCACTTCAAAGTCAGAATTTCTCACTTTGAAATCAGAACTTCTCAGTTTAAAGTCAAAATTTCTCAGTTCAAAGTCAGAATTTCTCACTTTGAAATCAGAACTTCTCAGTTTAAAGTCAAAATTTCTCAGTTCAAAGTCAGAATTACTCACTTTAAAGTCAGAATTTCTCAGTTCAAAGTCAGAATTTCTCAGTTCAAAGTCAGAATTTCTCACTTTAAAGTCAGAATTTCTCAGTCCAAAGTCAGAATTTCTCACTTTAAAGTCAGAATTTCTCAGTTCAAAGTCAGAATTTCTTATTTTAAAGTCAGAATTTCTCAGTTCAAAGTCAGAACTTCTCACTTTAAAGTCAGGATTTCTCAGTTTAAAGTCACTACTTCTCACTTTGAAATCAGAACTTCTCAGTTCAAAGTCAGAATTTCTCACTTTAAAGTCAGAATTTCTCAGTTCAAAGTCAGAATTCTCACTTTGAAATATCCCAAAATTCAACTTCAATCCACTCTACCTAGGGTTACCATCTAGTTTTCATGAAAATACAGGACTTTTGGTAAATTTTTTTGAAAAATACAGGACATAGAGTAAAATTCGAAAATTAACGGAAATTTTCATGAAAAAAATACAGGACCAAGAACAAAATTTAAAAATTTATACAGGACAGGGTTTCGAAATACAGGACTGTCCGTTGTAAAACTACGCAGATGGTCACCCTAACTCTACCTCATTCTCAATTCATTCTATTCCATTTTGAAAACAGGAATCACATTTGGAAAGAATGTGAAATGTGAGAAACTTTATAGCACGCAGAAAAATACACGTCATTTCCCGATAAATGTGATTTACATCCTCTCACAAAAAAAAATATTCCCATAAATGTCACAGCAATGTGTAGGAGGGAAACGAGTTGGAAGGCAAAGAAAATAATGAAGAGACATAGAAGTGATTTTAAAAAAAATTCATACGTATGACTGAATATTATGAAGATGGGAAAAAGGAGGAAAAAAAAGTTTTTTTTATTCTTCTGCAACCATTACTCATTTAATTTAAAACTTTTTTATTTAAACGAATAATGAGAAAAGGCAAGAAAAAGGCTTGGAGCTTTAAAAAAAAGTACGTGCTAGGAATGATGTCACGATTAAGAGAGATTTTCTGTAAGAGAAGAGAAGCAACAAAAAGAAAAGTTTGTCTTTGAACAATGTAAGTTAAGTTACACACCAAAAAAAGGAATAGAATCGATAGCATAAGGTCTAATAAACAGCTTTTTCGATCTATCTTCATTTTACATACTGCAGAGTTGGACATTGGCTGGTTTCTATCTGTTTTATTGAAGCATTAATACCAGTGGTAAGCAATATCAGAGATATGGATGTGAGCCATCAATGCAACTGGTATTTGGACCTTCTTTTGTAAGAATGGGATGAGTTATTTGATTGCTTAGCGCTTTGGTACCTAGTTACGTATTAAGACACCTAAACCAACGTTTATAAGTTTGATATTCGGCATTGGATCATCTTAAACACTAAATATTAAGGTAACAGCCTTTCTTTATAGACTATTAGCAGTTATGCCATCAAATAAATGGTTTGGATTCACTTGATCTACGCTTAAGTGAGACCCTATTTCAACTGTGAATAAAACTTGATTCTTTTTCCCGCAAAACCTATTCTCATGAAGGTTTTTGGTCAACATCCAGAAAGATCATGCCAACTCTATCAACATCGTCCAAGCAATATTTTGGTCCTTTGTGCTCGCTTTGAATTAATAAATCAATTCGCAGTTGGATGGTTTGTTATATAAGTTTGTTTTGAAAGTTTATAACAAGGTTTTGCCTTTTATTAAGGCAAAGAATAGAGAAATGAAAGACAAGAGGCATTCGCAACAAAATTATAGTTAAAGCTTGTTAAAGCCATGTTTAATAAATCCCATTTACTTTCCTCTTTCTCGACTTTTTCGGAAGTTAAAAGTTTCTCCTTCTTACATCTATGGGACGTGTGTATGAGGAAAGTCCCAAGAAACATTGTTCGAATAT